TTGGAAACTCTTTCAGTTCCTATCGACCTTGATTATATATTTTTTTCCCATATAATGCAACCGAAACTGTCTGGTTACCAATATTCTTTAAACTATTTTATGTTTTACAAAAACAAAAAAGGCACACCAGTTTGGAACAACATGAGGGTGAGTAAATGAAGACAGAATTCCCATTTTTGGGAGCACTGTCTCTTTAAGTAGCCAAGCAGTGAATGTGTGCAAGAACCTGTTGTATCTGTTGGTTTTCTCATTTCTTTTCATCATGTTCAGGCTGGAAGTCTAAGTCTATGCATCGATTGGCTTGTAGTTTGACTCTGATCTGTTGTTTTTTGTGTAGTGAATTCTACTGTAACTTATTCTTAAATTGCTAATAATTCAATAACAAATCTCTGTGGGAGGAGGAGAAACATACTTTGAATGTGTCGCACTGAACCAAAATTAGCACTGGGCTCCCACTGCACATTCCACATACGGAGTCCATTAGAGTGGAGCACAAAGCCTTCATGTCCTCCTCCTCAGACATATTTCATGCGTATAGAACCTAACACCTACCCTTCTGAGTATTATAGGTTAGCATGATTGAAAAGCCCTATTTCACAGACAATGGTGCATCACAAACTGTATTAAGTGTGCTGTTGATTTACCATTGAACATGAAGCTTGCATTAACTTGCTTCATCATTGAGTTTAAAAGAAGCACTTTATTTCCAAGTCATATATAGAATGCATGTTTTTCATAATGATGTTATTAAGCAGCAAGAAGCCTGAAGTTTGAAAGGAGTCCAGCTCAGCTCAGCTCAATAATATAATCTTTGTGTTCTTATTCATGTGACTTTACCGTTGTGGCCACCAATGTCTGTCCACGCTTATTTTTGGTGGTGCAGATGTACTTTCCATAGTCAATCGTTTCAACATCATCCACTATCATGACGCTCTGAGAGATGCGTGTTGTGTGTCCCACACCACGGTTTATCAGTCGCCAGGAGTCATGAATGCTCACCGGCCTCTGACCCTGAGAAACACATCACATTAACACCTATTTATCTGAATCTACATTACCTGCCAAAAAATTGGAATAATTGATCTTTTTTATGTTTTTGAAAAAAGCCTCTTATGCTAAGGCAGGCAGCATTTGATCAAAAATGCAGTGAAAATAGTAATATTGTGAATTATTGTTACAATTTAAAACAACTGTCTGTTTGAACATATTTTAAATGTAAGTTATTCCTGTGATGGCAAAACTGAATTTTCAGCATTACAAGATCCTTCTAAAGTCATTCTAATATACTGATTTGCTGCTCAATAAATAATATTCTTATTATAAATGTTGAAAATAATAGCACTGCTTGGTATTTTTGTGTAAACTACCATTCAGATTAAGTTAAATAAAATATATATTTTCAGCAAAGACACATTAAATTGATCAAAAGGTACAGTAAATAAAGGAACTTTGAAGAATCCTTAATAAAAAGCAAAATTAGGCAGCAAAAACTGTTTAGTGCTGACAATATGAACCCTTAATAGCTGAGCACCAAATCAGCAGATTATAAAGATCTTTAGCATTGTAAAAATATTTCACGGTATTACTGTTCTTAATGTATTTTCATTCAAATAAATGCAGCCTTGGTGAGCATGAGACGTCTTTCAAAAACATTGAAAATCATAATTGCTCTTTTGATCAATAGTGTATCTCTTTAGAACTGTTACGAGCAAAGCTGTAGCATCCACAAAATAGCATAATACTGAAAAACTCAAATATTATTGACCCAATCATCCTGAATCGGACGCTCAGATGAGCAAATCTTGGCCAAATCACCTTTTCTAAAAGAAAATAATAATAATAATGTAGCACTCACCTGGCCAGGATAGCTCCAGCTGAAGCTGACATTCATCTCAGGTTCACCCAGAACTGTGCATGTAACATTGAAGATGTCTCCACCACTCACTATGTTCGAAGAAGCCTCAATAGTCACCAAGGGGGGGCCGCTAGGCACTACGAGGGGAAAAATGGCAAAACAAAAATGCATCTTTGCCAAAAACACTATGTAAAATGTGTTATTAGTGTTATTAGCAGCACTACTATGCTCTCCTCTTACCTTCCACATACAGCAGCTGGTATTTAGTGGATATTTGTGGAGTGGTTTTCGTGGTGCTGTTGGCCTTGCAGTAATAAGCGCCCTTGTGTTCTGGACTGGGGTTTTGGATGATGAAGCCTTTCATGGGGTTGTAAGAGACCTGGATCCCATCCACAGCAATTTCTTCTGCAGGAACTTCCCTATGCAGCGAGACGTTGATTTTGGGGTTTGTCACCCGGCACGGGACAGTGGCGGGCTTGTCAGGGCGCAGGTAGATGATCTCAAAATGGATGGCAGAGGGAACAAACAGCTCATCTTTGTCTAGATACAAAGAGAATTGTAACAATGTCTTTAGAGTTTCAAGATCACATAGATGATATGTGAGCAGATGCTGTACCTGTGAAGTATATGTAGGTAGCAGAGGTGCTTTCTCCATCCTTTGTACATTCTTCTCCGTCACAGAGCACCACCCAGCAGCTGTACTCCCCCGTATCAGCAGCAGAGGGCGAGGTCAGAATCAGCTGACTGTACCGCTCATGCTGCTTGATGCTGGAACAACACAATCAATTAAGTCTAGACTTGGGCTATGCATACTGATATCATACTACTTGTATTATTTCTGCAGTATATGATAGGCCTGTATATATACTATGGAATGTATGAGTCATTCTACAAATTTAGGTTACGTTTTATGAACACTGATGATAAATATTTTCTTCTGACAATTTTCTTCAGAAAATTCATATTTTATCCATAATCCATTTTATTCATAGTTTAGAAATCATTTCAGTTTGCTTGAAATAGCCTTGATGTCTCTTAAATGATATTTTTTGCAGTGTCCACGTTTGAAGTGAGCGGCTTAACTAAAACTAAAATCCTTTAAAAAGTACTTTAAATGAAAAAAACTTAAAATTAAGGGAACATTTCTCAGTTTCTTTTAGTTTAACTTGATGTACTAAATAATAAAAAAAAATTATAAAAACGACAAAAACACAACAAACCTACTAAAATGCTCAAATTAAAATGAAAACGGAAAATAAAAAAAATTATAATTTAGAAACTGTAATAGCATAGCATCTTATTGATAATAAAAGAACACTGGTTTAAATTAATTTTAAAGTTAACATTATACATTGAATTTATTTCTAACAGTGAATACTTCAGAATTTGTTTTAATTTATTTTATTTTATAATTTTATATAGTTCATATTTTATTTTGCTCATGTCCACAAAAGTTTATCTACAATAACCTATTGTGAATTTTCTGAATGGATGAAATTATTAACCTACTAGATTTGTTTACAACTAGCACAAGCACAGAATACTGTATCCCGAAAAGCAATGTGTCCGACATGACCTTCCTGAAGTAACTACAGTTGACCACTGAATTAAATAGTCAGCATTTTTAACATTTGATTCCTTATCAGACAATTTTTGCAATTTTTTTATTTATTTATTTGTTTGTTTATTTACATTAAAATAGAAATTTGGGTAACACTTTATTTTAAGGTTTCCTTGTTACATGTTACACACATTTATTATTATAACAAAAAAAGTATGCATAATTACATGCAATTAAACCTAAGCCAATCCCTTATCCTAACCCTAACCATATAGTAAGTACATGTAGTTAGATAATATTACTCAGTACTTACATGTATATTTACACTGTAACAAGGACAGCTTAAGATAAAGTGTAACCAAAACTTGTATTTATTCACAAGCAGTGTAATTACGTTACTACAACTTTGAAACACTAGTATTCCAAACAGAAAATACTCCAGGAGCTATTAATGTGTTAGATTTATGATTCTAACATAGATACAGTGAGAAAGAAGAATACCTGAGGCGGTTGTCATTGAAGGTGTCCAGATAAGAGGGATATGCCCAGCCAATATTAGTTCCTTTGCATCTCAGTTCCATTGCTCTCCCAGGATTCAAGGAAAGGCTCTCACCCAGTCTGAGAAAACGGCCTTTATCAAGGACCTGGGTGAGAATAGACTGGCCCTTGCTTCCTGCCTCCTTCTCTTTAACTTTGGGGTAGCGAACCTTCACCCTCTTTCTTCCTGGTCTAATGCGGTTCTCACCAGCCTCTTTCTTACGCTTGACCTGCTGACACACACCTGGGTACACCAAAACACAGTTTTCCTAGTCAACAGCGTGTTGTTTCAGCATTTGGATGCGATTGGCAAATTTTACATGGGGAACTTCTAAAGAGCAGTAACATTAATTTATTCACTGCTAGTAGGCCATAAACATAATACGGCATATGTGTTTAATTTCTATCTTTGTGACACTTGATAACTCCTATGACCAAGCCAAAAAAAAAAAAAGAAGGCGAGAGAGAGCAAGCGTAAGAGGTTTCTGCCATCTGGAAATCTGCTCTATATGCTTCAGCTAACAGCTGTACAAACAGCAATGCTGGAAGTATGCCTTTCTTGTTCTCTGTGCAAAAGCGTACAAAACTGAACAATGCTGAGGTTCACTGAATCATAAATTCCTTTTAAATTCATTTTGACACATGCAAGGATCACGAGGTCTAGAGGAAAACTGTATACAGATCTTTTGATTCCTTTTGATTTATGTTTGAATTAAAAAAAAAAAAATAGGAAAAAAAAAAAAAAAAAAAAAAAAACTGTGTAATAATAGCATATGCAGCTTTTGTTCACCAGGCATGCGCATGTTTTGTGTGTGTGTGTGTGTGTGTGTGTGTGTGTGTGTGTGTGTGTGTGTGTGTGTGTGTGGGGAGACAGATGGTTGGTGAC